TGTTTTTTTTTTTTTTTTTTTTTTTTTTTTTTTTTTTTTTATTGTGAATTGAGTGAAAGTTTACAGGGCATATCATCAGTTTTACATTCAACAAATCATATACTTTGTTTCATTATAATGATTATAATCCCCTCCATGTACCATCAGTTAACAGTATTTCTCTCTATTCATTTTAGCTTTTTCTTTTTAAACACTCAGGCATATATAATAATTTACATCATCAAAGGGCACATTCTGCAAGTCTTCCTCCTGGCCGCCAGCTCTCAGTCCCTCTCTTCCCATGAATCTAGAGTCCTCAGCTGCTCACTCTCTCCATGTCCCCATCTCTGCCTCCATCTCTGGTGTCGCTGCTTCTCTGGATAAGGTCCTGCATTCCGCTTGTGCTCTTCTCCCTTGATGGTCCTAGGGTCCTCTCTTTCTGGACTGTAAGATTAACTATTCCCCCATTTTGGTTACAAAACTCCTACCTTGACAATTTACATTTGTCTTTTCTTGTCTTTTTATACAGGTGAGGCTGTACAATATTCGTCCTTTAGTTTGACAATTCACTTAGCATCACAGCCTCAAGCTCATCCGTACTGTAGCGTGTATCAAGACTTCACTTTCCACTGGCTGAGTTGTACGTCTGTCCGTCCATCTGTTAATGGGCATTTGGTGGTTTCCACCTTTTGTCTGTTGTGAACACTGGAGTACACGTCTCTGAGTTGCCTTTCAGGTCTTTTGAATCCGTCCCTGGGAGTGGTATAGCTGAGTCACTCCGTAGTTCTGGACGCCTGGTGTAGCGCTGTAGGATCAGTACTGTACTGCAGACCACAAAGTCAACAACTCAAACCCACCAGCTACAGCAGAGGTGGGGAACCTCTTCTGCCAAAATTTCTAACATCATTCTCGGGCCATACAAAATTATGGCTGAAAAATTAGCCTGCTCTATTTGGTCAGTTGGAGTCCCAGTGTGGCACTGTAGGATAAGCACTTGACTGCAATGTCAGTTTGAACCACAAAGTTAACGGTTCAAACTCCTTAGCTGCTCCTCGGAAACCCTATACAGGGTTGCTATGATTCAGAACCGACTCAACAGCACTTAACAACAACCACACTTGGCCAAACATTCAATTAACTCACCCTTAATATCAACGGCAGTTAACAACAAAGCAATGGCTGGAACTGCAGCTGCCTCGGCAGACCAAGCGATTTTACGGGCCCGAATCAGGCTGCGAACCTTAAGGTCAGTGGTTCGAAACTACCAGCCGCTCCGCGGGAGAAATATGAGGCTTTCTACTCCTGTAAAGATTTACAGCCTCGGAAACCCTGTACAGGGTCGCTATGGATCAGAACCGACTCGACAACACTTAACAACAACAACAACTCTGCTTGCCACAACAGTGGTAGCCCTTTGCATTCCCCCAGTAAGGGACAGGGTTCTGACCCCCCCACATCCTTGCTAGCATTGGTTACTTTCTGGGTTTGGGTTTTGTTTTGAGCCATCCCAGTGGGAGTGAAATGCTATCTCATGGTGGCTTTAATTGGCATCTCTGATGGTCACTGACACTGGGCATCTTCTCCTATGCTTGGTGGCCATTTGATATGCTCTTTGTTCAGGCCCTTTATCCAGTTGGTGATAGGCCCATTTGTGATTCTGGTGTTAAACTATGGAAGTTTATACATGTGTATATATATATCAGTTATTATATATATTTATATACATGGAGTTCTGGTGTGGCGCTGTGGGTTAATGCGCTGGACTGTAAAGTCGCTTCCGACCACAGGGTTGGCAGTTCAAGCTCACCAGTCGCTCCTTGGAAACCTTATACAGGGTTGCTATGGGTTGAAACCGACTTGACAGCAATTAACAACAACAACAACAATATGTATTGGTTTTTACATTCTTGTCAGATCTATGGTTTCAAAGGGAAGCTCACAGCCATAAAGTTCTATATGTATTTTTACTATTAGATTCTGATCGTATATTTGGTTTCAAATGATATTCTCCCGGTCAATAGTTTGTCTTTTCACTTTTTTGGTGAAGTGAACAAAGGTTTCTAAATTTTGTGAAGTCCAATTTATGTATTTCTTTTGTCCTGCGTTGGTGCTTTTGTTAAAAACCTAGGCCTGCCAATGTTGCCTGTCCCTGAGTGTTCTTGTACAATTTTTATGGTTCGACTTTGCACATTTAGGCCCTTAATCCATTGATTTTTGTATATGGTGTGGGGCGAATTCTTTTTAACTTTCCAGTAGAGTAAGAGTTTGTTGAAGGCTTACTGGATGGTTCTAAGCTACTGTTGATTAATTCTTGATCAGAAATTAAGCCGATCAAAAAAATAATAATACTTCTATAAAAAACTGAGCTGCTAACTGCAAGGTTGAAGGTTCAAACCCATCAACCGCTCCTCTGATACCCTTTGCAGTAGCTCTGAGTTGGAACTGACTCGATGGCACTTTTACAACAACAACAACAACAACAACAGAGGCACTGGTTTCTCTCTTTTTAGTTTTGACTTTTTTCAGATTTATTTATTTTTACTTTGTAGTCCAGGAGCCAAGCTAGGGGCAGATATTTTCAACACCTATAATTAAACAGAATGGGGAAAAATGAAAAAAATTAAGTAGTTAGCAACCAGCAATGCCAGCCCTCCACCACGGAGAGGTTTACCTACATAGCTTGTTGTTGTTGTTGTTATGTGCCGTGGAGTCGGAACCGACTCATAGCGACCCTGTACAGGGTTTCCGAGGGTGTAAATCTTTACGGGAGTAGAAAGCCTCATCTTTCTCCCACGGAGCAGCTGGTAGTTTCGAACTGCTGACCTTGCGGTTCACAGCCCAAGTCGTAACCACTACGCTACCAGAGCTCCTTTACCTACATAGCAAGGGTACCTACATACCAAGGGGGCTAATTAATGCAAAAATCCAGTTTCCTGTGGGGAATTAGACTAAAGTCAGGCTCCACTCACGGCTACAAAGTCAACTCACAGCGACCCTGTAGGACACGGCAGAACACCCCATAGGGCTTCCAAAGCATAATCTTTAGGGACACAAACTGCCACTTGTTTCTCCCTCCAAGTGAGTGACTCACACCAACAGAATTCTAAGTTCACTTAGTTCTGGGAGCCAGAAGTCTGAATTCAGGATGGTGGAGGTTCCTGCTCTTTCCGAAGGTGCTTCTGGTAGCTTTAGCATAACTCAGTCTCTGTCCCAAACTTTAACCCCCCTCCCACTGGGAAGTAGGGGCCTGCAGTTGGTGTAGAACATTGAGAAGAACCAACAAGCCTGTCTCAGGAAGATAACCGGAATGTTCCTGAGAAAAGACGATGGGGGCCTGGCTCGCTTACTTTGGACACGTTGTCAGAGGAGAAAGACATCATGGCTGGTAAGGCCAAAGGTCAGTGGAAGTGAGGGAGACCCTCGCCATGAGGTTGTTGTTGTTGTTAGGTGCCATCGAGTCGGTACCGACTCATAGTGACCTTATGCACAACACAACGAAATGCTGCCCGGTCCTGGGCCAACCTCACAATTGTGGCCACCCTTGAGCCCATTGATGCTGCCACTTGGCCAGTCCATCTCGCTAGGGATCTTCCTCTTTTTCTCTGACCCTTCACCTTACCAAACATGATATCCTTCTCCAGCGACTGGTCCCTCCTGACAATATGTCCGAAATCTGGCCATCTTGGCCTCCAAGGAGAACTCTGGCTGCACTTCTTCCAACACAGATCTGTTGGTTCTTTTGGCAGTCCATGGCACTTTCAATATTCTCCTCCAACACCATAACTCAAAATCATTGATTCTTCTACGGTCTTCCTTATTCACTGTCCAGCTTTCACATGCATATGAGGTTATTGACAATATCATGGCTTGGGTCAGGCGCACCTTAGTCCTCAAGCTGACATCTTTGCTCTTCAACACTTTAAAAAGGTCTTGTGCAGCAGATTTGCCTAATGTAATACATCATTTGATTTCTTGATTGCTGCCTCCATGAATGTTGATAGTTGATCCAGGAAGAATGAAGTTCTTGACAACTTCAATCCTTTCTCCGTTGGTTAGAATGTTGTTTATTGGTCCAGTGGTGAGGATTTTTGTTTTCTTTACATTGAAATGCAATCCATACCGAAGGCTGTGCTCTTTAATCTTCATTAGTAAATATTTTAAGTTCTCTTCACTTTCAGCAAGCAAGGTTGTGTCATCTGCATATGGCCATGAGATAGACGGGTAATAGTCACAGTCAAGAACGCTATCAGAGTAGCCATCATGAAGACAGTAAGGGGCGAGCAGGATTTGTTCTGTTGTTCCCATGAGTCAGAGCCGCCGCGGTAGTAGCTAACACCAATAGCAGAAGTCACCTGCTCACCTGTCCCATCCACCCAATAGAACCAGTTGTTACTGTGTTGGTTCCAGACCATAGTGACCCCATGTGTGTCAGGCCAAACCAGTGCTCTGGGTTTCTGATGGTGGATTTTTCAGAAGCAGATCTTACTTCAAAGGCGCCTCTGACTGTACTTGAACTTCCAACCTCTTCGTTCACAGCCAAATGTGCTACCCATTCACGTCAGCCACAGACTGAGAGCCATTGCCCTGTATGAACTCAATACAGTCCCTTGAGATGACTGAGAGAGAGAATCTGATGGCTCCAAACTAGAGGATCGCGCCCACAGCAAGGACTTTGCTCTGGAATCTGTTTACCTCTCGAGGTCGCACGTCCGTACAGCTGTCTCTCCCTAGAGCTTTACCAACTCCCCGGCTCCCAGACTCTACTATTGACCAGATCAAAGCACAGTGACCTTAGGGGACCACCCCTAGGGCACGTGTCCCAATCCATCTAAGCCAAATTGATATCATCAAAGATGTTGGGAGAGGGATGGGTTGAAATTTAACTATTCAGCTCTGAGGTTTGGGCGACTTAATACAAAAACATCGCCTTGATCAAAGTAAGAACAGGTACTAGGAAAATACCACCAGTCTTTTGGGGGGATCTGCAGGAAAGCTGGTTTCCAGCGGGGATCGAACCCAAGATGCTGAAGACAGCCATGTTGGGGTGGAGACATCCAGAGTCCTTGAATTTGTCATTCTTGGCCAAGTGGTTGTGGGGGGTCCCCCGAAGTCATCTGAGGAGGCGTGAGCGAGCCTGCCATCAATGGATTCCTGCCCAGAGGGACAGGAAGGATGTCTGTAAGTACAGTCTTGGTTCTCCCCAGACGCAGTTGTGTCTAGGGGTGGAATGGTGTTGTGATGTCTGCCTTATTGTACGCCGTCTTTCAAAATGGGAGATGGCCCCCAAGGCAGACTGCTGGGGTTCAGGTTTCTCTCGTGTGTGTTTGGTGACCCACCAGGACCACCGAGTGCCCATTATTAAAGGCTAGTCACATAGGAATAAGCTACGGTAACTAGTGATTCTGATAAAGAACACTTTCAGCCACCATTTATTTCATAAACACATCAGCCAATCAGCTCTGCCAAGGGACTGCCATGCCCCTGCCTCCAGAGGCCAGCCATCACACTAATGACCTGTGATTCTGGACAAGTCCCTCCCATCTCTGCAAACAGAATACAGCACTGCACAGATCTGTGCCACCCCCCTGGTCCACTGCAGATTGGACAGTTCTAATCCACTGCATTTCCACTGACTGCTTTTCAAAAGTAGATTACCAGGCCTTTCTTCCTACTCTTAGTCTGAGAGCTCTTCTGAAACCAGCTCTATAAGTGGTGGACTCCCATATGTCTAATTCCCTCTGTGACCCCAAAGGATAGGTATTGTGCTGCTGTCCTGTTCAGTTGTGTCAATTCCAACTCAGATGTTGGCAAAAGGTTAGCAGTTCAAACCCACCAACTGCTCTATGGGAGAAAGACCAGTTAATCTGTCCCCATAAAGATGGTAGCCTTGGAGTCCTCAGAGCAGTCCTACTGTGTCCTTCAGGGTCACCAAGGGTCCGAGTCGACTGGCTGGCAGTGGGTTATACATTCTACCAATCAGGAAGCTGACTAATTGAACAACAGCTCCTAAAAAGATCTTATCAACTCCATCAAAGAACAAACAAAGCCTGGGAGTGTCAGACCTCAGACTCTCCGGGTGGGAGACAAGGAGGCCGTTTCAGCTCTCTGTCCACAATCCCTCCTGCTTCTCGACAGTTCTGCTGACCACACTTCTTGGACTCAACCGTTTCGTGGTTAGGAATTGATAAGAAAATACTGCAGAGAAGTCATAGAAAGCTCTTCACAGCATTGTTTAAAATAGAAAGTCAATAAAAATCTAAATAGTCTTCATTCAAGAATTAGTTTTTTTAAAGTAGGGCAGTAGAACAGAAAATGGGGAGTCCTGGGGCTCTGTAGGATAAGCATTGAACTGATAGCTACAAGGTCGGTGGTTCAAGCCCACCCGTTGCTTCATGGGAGAAAGATGAGACTTTCTGCTCCAACAAAGACTTACAACTTTGGAAACCCTATACAGGGTCAATATGAATCAGAACAAACTTAACAGCATCATAGACACTGTACCACCATCAGCAAGACTCCTGTGTACCCACAATCACTGATAAAGTAGTGTCGTGCTTACTGAAGAAGACATCTCCATGGTAATACACGGAGCAGAATCCTAGTCCATGAACAATAACACGAAGGTTTCTGTTGGTGTGAGGAAACTGTGTGAACAAGAGGCTGGAACATCACCTGCTACAACTCTTGTTTTTTTCTCTCCTACAAGCTTTTCTGTGTTTTCTGAAATCGTATCAACCAGGGTCTCTTATCTTCAAATCACACACACGACATATTGAAATGACACCTCCGAGAATGGGGTGGGAACCATGCCAGTTTAATTTTCTTGGTTGGCGTCTCACTGCCCCCTTGAGGACAGGGTGGAGGACAACATTCGGAAGCTGCCCCATGGACCCCTGTTGTTTTCTTCTCTTTTATGAAGACATCAGGCATATGGACCAGAGCCCACCCACCCTGGGAAAGGACAGCCTGCTTGATAAAGTCAAGGGCCAGCAGAAAAGAGAAAGACCCTCAACGAGATGGACCAACACAGTGCCTTTGACACTAGGCACAAACCTAGGAACGGAGATGAGAGTGGGGTGGGCAGGGCTCTGTTCTGCTGTACAAGGGTCTCAATGGAACCTCAGCTAGCCAAGCTCCCCTACCTCTCTGACATTTCCTCATCCTCACCTCACTCACCTGTCCAGCTCCTGAAGGTCGCACCTTCACCAGCTTCCCCCTCCCTCCGCATCCCTGGATTTGGAGTCACCAGCGACACACAGCCTCCCAGTCTACACTTGGTGACCAGAACAAGAGACAGGAAACACAAAACAGAGAGTGATGAGCTCAGCCCCTGAGGGCTCTGATGGCCAGAGACCAATACACACCAAGGTTGTCTCCACATGCTGGCTTTCTGGGGACTCGGGTCTTGTTTTGCTCTAGTTTCTCCATCTGTGACCAGGGATAGCACTGAACACACCAATCAGGTTGCCTTCTCTCTGCCTCCAGTGCACCCCCTCTGGAAGAATCCCCCTTCTGTGCCTGGGGGCACCCGGCAGTCTCCCATCAACATCAAGTGGAGGGACAGTGTCTACGACCCCCAGCTGCAGCCACTCAAGGTGTCCTACGAGGCGGCATCCTGCCTCTATGTCTGGAACACCGGCTACCTCTTCCAGGTGGAGTTCGATGACTCCACTGAGGGCTCAGGTGAGCTTGGCCTGGGGTGGGGCCTTCCTGGGAGTGGGGTCATGGGCGCAGGTGGAGAATGGGGCTACAGGTTGACTCATACAGTTTGGGTGCCGTCTTCATTTCCTGGGAAGCTTCAAACAATAGGAATTGGTCTCGGTGTTGTGAAATCAAGGTGTTAGTACGGTTATGTTCTGGGTGGCAGGAGGGGGTGGTGTCCTTCTGTGTCTTCCAGTTTCTGGTGGCCAAAGTGTTGCTTGGCTTGTGGCCACATCACTCCAGTCTCTGCCTCTCTTTTCACACAGTGTCCCCACTCTGTGTGTTTTTTCTGCTTTTCTAACAGAGGTGGGGATGTGGGTAGGGAATGCCCAGCCTACGAGTTGGTCTGGCCAAGGCAACGGCAGTTCTAGCCTTCATCTTGTTGTTTGTTGTTAAATGCCGTCATGTCAGTTCTGACTCACAACGACTTTGCAGTTCTGAGCCTACAGTCCAGCACATTAACCCACGGCACCACACCAGGACTTTACCAAAACTCCAGCCAGCATATTAGGGGTGAGTTAATTACATGTTCAACCAAATAGAGAAAACGGATTTTAAAGTTGATAATTCTGTATGACCCACGAATGCTATAAATATCCAAATGCTCTTGACAGGAAGAAGTTTACCCACCCTGCTTTATAAGGACCCCAGTCACAGTGGATCAGGACCCACCTTAAATCCAGGATGCCTTTGTGGTAACATAACCAGTTATAGCTGCAAAGGGCCATTTTCAAATACGATCATGTTCTCATGAGCCCAAGGGTCTTTTAGCTGGAAACACCACTGACCCCATAACAGGAGGGGGAAATTAGACTCCCTGAGGAGAGCAAGTGAGAACACGTGAGTTCTCCACAGAGATAGGGAGAGTGATGACCATTTTGGAATTGATGCTAATAATCACCTTCATTCAGTCATGTGATACAGATGATTTCATTCAGTCAGTCATGTGATACAGATGATTTCATTCAGTCAGTCATGTGATACAGATGATTTCACTCCATCAGTCAGTCAAGTGATACAGATTTCACTCAGTCAGTCACGTGATACAGATGACTTCATTCATTCAGTCATGTGATATGGATGGTTTCGTTCATTCATTCATTCCGTCAGTCATGTGATACGGATGGTTTCATGTAGTCAGTCAGCCATTCACATGATACAGACGATTTAAGCAGAGACCTAAAAGGAAAGGAGGAAGGAGCTGGGACAATGGTGGGCAGGGTGTGCACAGTCAGTAACCTAACTGGGCCTCAGTGAGCTGGCTCCCAGGTCTTACGTGTGAAGGATGGACGAGGGCTGGAGTAGGGGTCAGCGGTTTGGGAAGCAGGTGGTGGAGGCAACCTGGGGGCCAGAGCTGTGGCTCTGAGTCCCAAGCATCAGTTGTCTTTGATGCAGTGGACGCTCCTTGCCCCTCGTATCACATCCCAGTCCTGAGGAATGGGTGCTGGAGTTCCTCCAGTGTTTGCAGTGACCACTGCTGTTACAGCAGCTTCATGACCTTTCCTGACCAGGGATGCAGACTCCAGACCAGCTTTTCCTTCCTAGAACTGACCAGCAAATCATTCTCTTAGTACTCGGTATTCCTACGACTTCCATTGCAAGTGAGGTGGGGGATATTTGGAGCACTTCAGAGGGGAAGCTACTCTGGATTCGCAAGGATGGAAATAGGAAGAAATAGATGCCTTAGCAGACCCGCCCCAATATGTATGGCCTTGGGCAATAGAACAAAGAGGGGGTCTTGGAGGCCCCATCTCTCCCCAGACCCTGCCTTCAACTTACATACGCCTCCATGAACACACAGCGCACACGCATGTGTGCACACAGACCCACAGGTACACATCTATACACACTCCTGTGTGTGCACAGCCACACAGTCTGCTGGCCAATGCGCCCACCCTCTGGGTGGACCTCACTATGAATACAGAATACAAGAGCATTACAACAGCACGTCAAACAAAACCAAAACCGTGGCAGGCTTAGGAGTATAGAGTCAAAGTGCTCCAAGGGGGTTCCTGGCTGTGACCTTTCATAAGATGATTACCAGGCCTTTCTTCCCAGGTACCTCGGGGTGGATTTGCACCACCAACCTCTCAGTTAGCAAACAAGTTCTTACCATCTGCACCACCCAGGGAGTCCCCCAATAGACTCGGTGGCTTAAAGTAATCCATATTTATTATCTCTTAGTGTCTGTACGTTAGAAGTCCAGAATGGGTCTCAGGGAATTGAAATTCCTTCTGGAGGATCTGGGGATGTGATAGGAAGGGGCGTCCACTGTCTGGCCTTGTCCACTGTCTGGAGGTGCCCGTCTTCCTTGGCTCGTGGCCCCTCCTCCATCTGCAGAGCAGCAGTAACTGGTCACATCCTGCTCACATGACACAGCTCCAGCCTCTGCTTCCTTCCACACTTCTCCCTCTCAGAGTTTTCCACCGCCCCCTTTCATTCATAAGGATGCTGTGAGCATGTGGGGCCACTGCACAAACCAGGATCCTTACCTTCTTCCGTCTGCAAAGGCCTGTAGCCATTGCAGACCCAGACTCCAGAGATGAGGGCTAATAGTAGTGATAGTAGTCATTAGTCTTCGTGGGGGGGGGGGGTCCCATTTAGCCAAAACACCCTGTTAAACTCCTGCCTGGCTCCTAAGGCACTTACTGTGGAATCCAATGCCTGCCCCTGGTCCTCCCTCTTCCTGCATTCACCACCCAACTGGCTCCTCCCAGACCTCTGCTGTCTCTGCCTAGCATGGCTGGCTAAATGTTCTTCCTGTGCCCAGCGTGGTTGGCTCATTCTCATCCTTGAGAGTCTCATGAAGAACGTCACCTCCTCCAGGAAGTCCACCTGGATTGTCCCTTCCATCTAGAGAACACGTGTGCAGAAATTTCTGGTGTAGCTATAACAGAAATACCACAAGGGTTGGCTCTGACAAACAGGAGTTGATTCTTTCACAGTTTAGGAGGCTAAAAGTCTGAATTCATAGCATGAGCTCTTGGGGAAGGCTTTCTCTCTCTGTTGGCTCCAGGGGAAGGTCCTTGCCTCTTTTCAACATCTATGGGCTTGGCATCCTTTGGAGTTCTCCATGCGTCTTGGAATCAATCTTCCCCTGGGTCTAAGAAGTTCTCGGCATATGGACCTCAGATCCAAAGGGCATACTTCGCTCCCGGCTCTTCTTCCTTGGTGGTACTGAGGTCCCTCTGATCTCTGCTCACTTATTTAATCTCTTTTCTGTCTCAAAAGAGACCGACTCAGGATACAACGTAATTGTGTAGAGTGTATATTGTTTCATTAGGATCATAAAGGAAGGTTAGGGTCTCAACATATAACAATTACACAAACGAAGTCACAAAATGGGAGATAATTACAGTATTCTGAGAATCATTTGTTCTTGTTAAGTGCCGTTAAGTCAGTTCCAACACATAGCGACCCTGTATAGGGTTTCCAAGGAGCAACTGGTGGGTTTGAAAGCCGCCCACACGGTTCAAACTGACCTTGCAGTCCAGCACATTATCCTGCAGCACAACCGCCGGACGTCTATTGTTGTGAAGTGCCGTCCAGTCGATTCTGACCCATAGTGACCCTCTAAGGAGCAGCTGGTGAGCTTGAACCACCAGCCTTGCAGTTCAAACAACTTTGCAGTCTGACGCATTATCCCACAGCGCCACACCAGGGCACCAGGACTCCTAGCCAGGCCTAATTGATACATAATTTGGAGAGACATGATCCAACCTATGACAATCTATGGCCCAGCAAAGGCCAACAGCCGACTCAGGGCAGATTCTCATTGGCTCAGAGTTGTCTTTGCTGAGAGCCAATCATGGTGACTCTGACCTGTCGATGTGAAGATGAACCCACCCCCTGAAAGAAGGTGTGGCCTGAGAGTGGAGAAAAGGACAATTCCTCAAAGGAAAGCAGAGGGCGCTGTTTGGGGAAGTAAGAAAAGAAGCTGGACGGCCTCCTTTGGTTGTGGACATTGGCCCCTCCGGGTGCTATCCAAGTCCACCATCTGTGCCCAGTTGTAGCAGACTTTCCATGTGTGACCCATCCTGACTCTCCACCACCTTCTCAGCTGCTTCAAAGGGACCGGCTCTGCCCTGCTGCAGACCAAAAGCAATGCGCTGGGTATCTCTCCAGCCATATAAATTAGCTGGATAATTTCCCCTGTGGCTCAGGGCCACACAGGACAATCTGGTTTTACTTTGCTTGTCATTTTCCCCAACATTTTCCTTCTTTTTTTCCTACTCAATTTTACGCGCCTACCACCACACACACACACACACACACACACACACACACACACACACACAGCTTCGTTTCCAGGTTCTTGCTCCCTTTTTCTTCAGATTTTCCATCCTTTCCAGTCATTCTCCCCACTTTCTCCTCCGTCTGGAAACCAGGAGCAGAGGAAATGGAAAGTGTAGGGAAGAGACAAGAAGTGCTGAAAGGAATAATTTTCAACGTGAAAATGGGCATAATGAGATGCATGCATCAATTAAAACCCAGAGTACAGGGAGAGGAAATGCCTTGAGACCAAGAAAGGAAGTGAATGGAGAAGGAACAGGCATAGGAGACAGCTTAGGTTTGGGGGTACACCAACAAGTGAGTGCCAGAGCTCAGAGCAAAACGGAGCCGGGCCCAGTGCTGGACGCCTGCCCTCCCTTGAGGGTCACAGCAGCTGGTGACTCAGCGGTAGAGGGGCAGTGGGCCCTCGTCCAGGAACTGTGGAGATGAAGGCCAGGAAAGAGAGACAGGGAATGAGGCAGGGGAGGGAGAGGGCCTCACAGATCAGGAAAGCCAGGATGACAATGAAGGAAACAGTAACCAGTACAAACCATACCCACTGTCCAGACCATAACCCCACCTGGCGGGGATCTGTTGGTCCAAGGTGGAGAACAAGGGATCATCTGAGGCAGGAACCAGAGTGGTATTTCCACCTACACAGCGGCCTTCCTCAGGAGGTCTGCGTGAAGGCCAATGTCCGGCCTAGGGCA